GGCTCTGTCCCCGCCCCCTCCAGCTGCCGGCAGCTCTGGACCTCGGGCCTGAGCAGGCTGCACCGCCCCCGGCTGCTCTGTGGAAGTTACCCCAGAGACTGAGCACGTGCCTTGCTCCTCCTGGGAGTCCCATGCACATGGCAGGGCCTAGGGGCATCCTTTCCCCCAAGCCGGGGGTTACCCCGGGCATGGAGCCCCCTTCACGTATGGGGATCAGGGCAGGGCTATTCGGGCATTTCAGGGGCTGTGGGATCAGGCTGCACCGCCCCCGGCTGCTCTGTGGAAGTTACCCCAGAGACTGAGCACGTGCCTTGCTCCTCCTGGGAGTCCCATGCACATGGCAGGGCCTAGGGGCATCCTTTCCCCCAAGCCGGGGGTTACCCCGGGCATGGAGCCCCCTTCACGTATGGGGATCAGGGCAGGGCTATTCGGGCATTTCAGGGGCTGTGGGATGGAAACAGCCCTGTGGCCCGGGGCACAGGTCAGTGGACCTGCAAAGATGCATCTGACAGGGCTTTACAAATTGCTGCCCCTCTGCTGAACAAGCAGGCTTAACTGGTTAACACACCACTCCCATGCTATGAGACGCATGCACCCGCACTATATTAGCTTCCTTTACAGCGGTCCTGCAATTGACAGGTCACTTCTTTTGCTGTTATATAGACCCTGGGTTCTGTCATTTCCACTCCAACTCATTGGATGAAGTGGGTTTTACCCCTGAAAGCTCATGACCTAATAAAGTTACTAGTCTCTAAAATGACACAGGACTGCTCAGTATGCTCAATGGGAAGGGGAACCAGGATGGGCTATGAGGGGCAGTGACCCGGAGATGAAGGGCAAAGAAGGGAGCTGTGCAGGGGTCAGTGACCCACGGATGAAGGGCAGATGTGGGGCAGAGTTCTGCAGGGGTCAGTGACCCAGAGATGTGGGGCAGAGTTCTGCAGGGGGCAGTGACTGGGAGACAGGGGGCACTGTGGGGAGCTCTGCAGGGGCCAGTGACTGAGACACAGAGGCTGGGGCTGCACAGGCCACCCCACATCCACCTTGCAACTGCTGGGCTGCACTTCGCTTAGCGTAATCTTCGGCGCCCCGCCTCCCTCCTTCGGCAATGTCCGCCTCTGCTCGGCTCCACGTCGGCCATTTCCGTGCGCGCCCGCTGGGGCTCGGCTCCCTCCGCCTCGCTTCGGCCGTCTCCGTCCCTCGCTCGGCTCCCCTTC